AGCTAAATGCAAAGAATGAAACTGGACCACTTTCTTACACCATACAGGAAAATAAACTCAAAATGGATTAAAGACCTAAATGTAAGACCTGAAAGAATAAAATTCCTAAAAGAAAACACAGATAGTAAACTTTTGGACATTTTTTCTGGGTATGTCTCTTCAGGCAAAGGAAACAAAATAAAAAATAAGTAAATGGGACTACATCAAACTAAGAAGCTTCTGCATGACGAGAGAAACTATTGCCAGAAAAGGGAACAATCTTGATGGGAATGTAAATTGGTGCAGCCACTATGGCAAACAGTATGGAGATATCTCAAAAAACTAAAAATAGAAATACTGTATGAACAGTAATCTCACTTCTGGGAGTTTACCCAGAGAAAACAAAACACTAATTTGAAAAGATTATGTTTACTCTATGCACCTCTATGTTTACTGCTACATTGCTTACAACAGGCGAAATATGGAAGCAACCTAAGTGTCCGTCGTTAGAGGAATGGATAAAGATGTAATACAATGGAATATTACTCCACCATAAAAAAGAATTAAATTTTGCCATGTATGACATCTGAATGGATCTAAAAGGTATTACACTGAGTGAGTTAAGTCAGAGAAAGACAAATAATATAAGATTCACTTACATGTGGAATCTAAAAACAAAATGCAAAAAAACAAAAAATTCAGAAACAGATTCATAAATACAGAGAACAAACTGGTGGTTGTCAGATGGCAGAGATGTGGGAGATGGGCAAAGTAGGTGAATGGGATAAAGAGGGACAAACTTACAATTATAAAATAAGTAAGACACAGAGTAAAAGGTTAGCTTGGGAATACAGTCAATAATATTATATAACTTTGTATGGTGACATATGTTAACTATATGTATCATGGAGAACATTTTGTAATGCATATAAATGTTGAATTGCTATCTAATACACCTGAAACAAATAAAATATTATGTCAACTAGACTTGGATAAAAAAAAAATAAGAGGGTGTATGTTTCTGTTATGATCTTCACAGATCCTAGGACTTTTTTTTATAGTTCTCTCCTTGTCTGTCTTTAAAGAACTTCTATATACAAATACCACAACTTGAGCTTACTTGTTAATTTGCATAAATCAAGCTCACCAAGTAATATCATCGAAGCTCCTCTTAGAAGAACTACAGCCAATACCTATACATTTTCTTACTATAACCCTACAGCTTCTAAAAAATAAAGGGTTTAGCACTCTGTATTTCTTCTCTCTATTGGCCCATTTTCATCAAGATTTCAACAAGCTCAAGTCCTTCCTATTCTTAAAAATAAACAGTAATCCAAAAGACAAACAACAACAAATGTTGGCGAGGCTGTGGAGAAAGGGGAACCCTCCTACACTGCTGGTGGGAATGTAAATTAGTTCAACCATTGTGGAAAGCAGTATGGAGGTTCATCAAAATGGTCAAAACAGACTTACCATTTGACCCAGAAATTCCACTCCTAGGAATTTACCCTAAGAACGCAGCAATCAAGTTTGAGAAAGACAGATGCACCCCTATGTTTATTGCAGCACTATTTACAATAGCCAAGAATTGGAAGCAACCTAAATGTCCATTGGTAGATGAATGGATAAAGAAGATGTGGTACATATACACAATGGAATACTACTCAGCCATAAGAAGTGGAAAAATCCAACCATTTGCAGCAACATGGATGGAGCTGGAGAGTATTATGCTCAGTGAAATAAGCCAAGCGGAGAAAGAGAAATACCAAATGATTTCACTCATCTGAGGAGTATAGGAACAAAGGAAAAACTGAAGGAACAAAACAGCAGCAGAATTACAGAACCCAAAAATGGACTAACAGGTACCAAAGGGAAAGGAACTGGGGAGGATGGGTGGGCAGGGAGGGATAAGGGGGGG